CTTTCTACACTAAATAATCACGCTTTGAACAAAGTCGAAACCTTTCTAGATAAGCACATATCAAATCCTAACACACGAAAGCAAACGATGAAAATAGAGAGAAAACTAGAATCGAGCATCAACACAAAATCGAAAAACAAACTCGAAGTAATTAGCCCCTAAGCAAGGTACTTACTCTCCTATCGCATGCATAGACGAAAATAGTGCGTAAAACTCAAATCTTGATTGAAAATAGAGTTGCCGAAATTTTGCCGGAAAATCGAGTCATGAGTCTCCAACCAAAAGCATAAAAAAAATAAAAGAGAGAAAATGGAGAAGATTTCCGAACTTAAAAGTTGAGAAATGAGGGTGGTGTCCTAAAAATACAAAGCACAATGTCTATTTATAGTTACACCATAAACACACACTAAAAACACACACATTTAATGAAATTATGCAGTTCGCGGGTCTCGAAACTGATTTCGCAACGAGTTTGGGCATGGAGTAGTGTAGTTGGGGCGTTTTGCGGGTTGCCAGAGAAGGTTTGCTGGCGAGTTCAGCCTTGGGTGCTGTAGATGGGCGTTTCGCGGGTCGCCAAAGTGATTTCGCTGCGAGTTGCTAGCTTGTGAGCTGGGGACATGCATTTCGCGGGGCGTGAACTCGGGTTCGGCTGCGAGTGCGTCATGGAGCAGCTGCCTAGGGCGCGGTTGGCATGTCGCGAGAAGGTGTTCGCTGGCAAGTGTGCACTTTTTGTGGCTTGTGCGTGCTTTGTGGGTCGCGAGCGTAGGTTCGCCAGTGAGTGCTGGGCCAAGCTCCCTTGCGTGGGTGCCTCTCTGGTCGCCAAACGAACTTCGCGACGAGTGCGGATGTGCTGCCTTGGACTCGGACACTCGATCAAATGGCCCGGTTGGTTCGGAAATGGTCCGTATGGCTCAAATAGGGAACGGACATGGCTTGAAAATGTCTCGGAAATAGCTCGTCCTCCCTACTCGACCAATGTGGACCTAATCAACACCCAAATACGCAAGAAAATACGACAAAACACAAAACACATAACGAGAACAAAAATACACAGAACACGATAAAATGGACCGGTTGACACGAAACCGAACCTAAAAACAACTCCACTAAAGCAATAAAACACGATAAACACCACAAAACATAACAAACACTAAGCATACATCTAATATGATAAAAACACATCACAACCTAAGCATACATCTAGCATGATGAACACATCACAAAGGCGTATAAATAAGTAAATTGTCTATAATTGTTGCTCAGTTTACTGCCTATAACTGTTGCTCAACTAACTGTGTATAACTTTTGTTCAACTAACTGCCTATAATTGTTGCTCAACTGACTGTCTATAATTGTTGTTCAACTGACTGTTTATAACTATTGCTCTACTGATTGTCTATAACTGTTGCTCAACTCACTTTCTATAGCTGCTGCTCAATTGACTGTCTATAACTACTGCTCAACTGGCTGTCTATAACTGTTTCTTAACTGACGAGAAGGACACTTGGCCTTCACGCTTGCTATAAGCAACTGTAAGACCTAATCTGCAGGTCATTGCTCATGCGAGGGCAAAACTAACTCTTATTCACTTTTAAAGTTGGAGTTTAACTCAAAGTTGTGCTAGAGTCCTTGATGTTAATTGGAGTTCGAAAGGTTATAATGAAACCTAGAATATGTCAATGCCCCCTTAGGGAAGAAACATTCTAGAATTACCACTTAACTCAGATATGTACTAAGGTTCTTAATTCACTTTACTCAAGTTTCACTAGAGTTCTTATCTCACCTTAATTAGCGTTCGGATCACTTAGCTTGAATGGACATACTCGCTAGATCATTGCCTCTTTTCGGGCAAACTAACTCTTACATACATACCTCGGTCAAGATATTGCGATTATAGAAAATGTAGCACCCCATACAGGGTCTCCACATGATATGTTGAATTGCAAGTGCTGAATGAATTTGAATTTTTGGAGGCTCGACTCCCCACAAGTTAAAAATTTTTGTGCACAATAATATATTCTAAGTACTTAGCTCAAACTAAAAAACTTGAATCTTAAACTCTGATCTTACTAGGTTTGCTCGGTTGATTCTAAAATCGATTAAACTCAATTTAGGAATTTACGAGCTGATTTTGGAAAATTTATATGACTTTGAGGCATACTAGAGTTCTCGAAAATATTTCTAAGTATGACCTACATTCTGACTGGGTCTTACCTGACTGGTTCGGAAAAATACTGCACTCTCGATTCACGCTCAAACCAATAATCCAAAATGAATTTCCCAAATCGTCCAAACTACCCAGAATGATTCAACTGAAATGGGATTCTTCGAACCGTCTGGACTGGTTTGACTGAACTGGACCAGTTGTTTGGTCAGAACTGGTCAGTTACCGCTTGCCTATGTGCAGCTCGACTTAACCGTGGTCGGATTCAACATGGCAACTCGGGACCTGCACGAATACGGTTGACACGGCTTTGCCGATGTACGAGTTTTAAACGGTGCCACGGTTCCTGACGCAGGGGCGTGCTTGGACCACGGCTAACGAAAAATGGAGTTTTAACTGTAGGTCAGACGGACACACGTGCGTTGTTATATATAAGGGTTATTTTAGTAATTTAATATATATATATATATATCAAGCCGCTCGACGAGTCGCTCGACAATGTAAAATATGGTTCGAGCTCGACTCGAGTTCGTGTATGAGCTCCTCGAGCTCGAGTTTGACTGAACTCGAGTCGAACTTCTCGCGAGCTTCTCGTGAGCCGCTCGACTCATTTGCGGCGGTAATTGTACCCAAGCATTTTTCCTCTCAAAGCCCATTCTCCAAAATGATAAAAGAAAGAAAACAATTTAAATAGGGAAATGGGTCAAAAACACCCCTAATGTTTGCTACAAGATACATATATGTCCATGAAGTTTCTTCAGGTACAAATATACCATTAAAGTTCAACCAATAATGGTGTTTACATTCTTCCTAATAGGGAAAATAGCTCTATTAACTCCTCATTAACTTATGATAAAAATACATTTAATATGACGTAAACACTTGTTAATAATTCTTTGGACAATTTTATATCTGCAAAAAAAAAAAAAGTAAATTATGAAAAATCATAAAAACGCAAAAAGGCAAAATACGTTTGGAATTGTTTTGTCAAATGAGATTGTTTGTCAAAAAGAAAAATAATTACCAACACAACACTCATATTATTTTAAGATTATACGAAGGCTAATA